TTAATGTTGTCGTGAAATCGAATTAATTAAAAAGAAAAGAAAAGTGACGCGTTTCGTGTTGCCAGAGTGTGTAACTTCGGCCGATTTTCCGCAGACAGGTGTCTCTGAAACTCTTCTCCGCCTGGCTCTCTGGCTGCCTGTGCGCTCGCCCGAGTTCGACCTGGACGCACGTCCCCATAATCCAGGAGGCGGCAGAGACAGAGGCGGCTTTGTTCGCGACCAGGGCTGCTCCCTCTGCCCAGGGTCTTTCTGGGCTTGCAAAGCGCTGGCTCAGGAGAGCTGGCCGGGCGGAAGGGGCGAGGCCCTAGGCTTATCTAGTTTGAGAAATTGAGGGAAGCGGCAGCCGGGAGCTGGGAGATGGCTGATAAATTCCCGCCCGCCCGCCGCGCTGCCTGCAGCCTCGCATTCCGTTCCCAGGCCGCGGTTCCTCCAGGAGCTGAGAGCTTCTGGGCAGGACGTTCCCGGGCACCCGTCAGCGGGTCTGGAGGGTGCTGCGCTCGGTGGCATCTCGGGGCAGGGGCGGGAAGAGGAAAGGAGAGTGAACTTAGAATTCAGCTGTGGCCAGAGGCGGGGCGCGGAGTCCGGCTGGGAGAAGACAGATTGCGAGAAGGCAGGCCCAGGGAGGCCAGGCATCCGCAGGCCTGCAGGAGCTGCGGCTCTCCCGGGGTGGCTCGGGTGCGGGCGCGGTCCTGGTGTGCGCAGTGCCAGCAAACGGAGACCATCCGACTGTGGCATCGGCCACTGAAAGGACTTTGTCTCCTCCCGGCCAGGCCCTTTCCTGTCCACTGGCGCCCAACGCCTCCAGGGCGGCCTCTCCGATCTGCTGTCCCTGTCCGTCCCAGGCCTGGAAGCGCAATGCTAGAGGTTCCCACGCGCTCGGTGGGCAGCGGGCAGCGGGCGGAGGTGTGCCGGGCTGGGAGCTGCCGGCAGAAGCAGGTGCTCGGGCGCTCCTAGCCAACCGCTCGGCTGCTCGCCTTAGAGCATGGGGTCTGCACGCCCAGCTCCTGGCAGGGCACGTTTGAAGCTGGGGAGCCAGAAGGGGGAGATGAAGAACCTGTAGACGGTGAAGATCCCGAAGAGCACAACCGCCTGGCGCGTCCGCTGGGGAGCGCCTGCACGCGCTCCCATCCCCGCTTTGCTGGGTTCCACAAACCCGATCGACACAGTTGAGTCTACTATGGCTGAAATGTTGAGTCTCATTTTCTATTGATGGGAAACTGCCCCCAAATAAACTGGCATGCGTATTTATGGCACAATTTTAGCCTGAACCTCAGTGAAGATAGATCTCCCTTTATTTCCCTGTGGTTTGGAATAAAAACGAGGGCATGTGTCGTAAATGAAAAATAAACAGAAATTCGGGGTCAAAATATGTTGTTCCTTGTGTTACCTGCAAACAGAGTGATGCCTTTTACTGTTGGCAATACTAACTGTGGGACAGGCCAATAACAGCTCATTAAAAATAATGTTGCAATAGCAAACATGTCCTTAGATTTTACAGCCAGAACATGATGCTATCAAACGCCAAGAAAATACTTCTTTATTTGTGTTTGGATTCTAGAAAACGGTTCTTGACTGACCCAGTCTTTACAAAGTCAAGAAATAACTGGTTCCCCGCACATACAGTTTATCCTTTGTCTTGCTCCTTGCGGCCTCCTTCTCAGTCCTAATGGGAAGCCCCGCTGCCCTGCACCAATATGTTTCTCCCCGGAGCCACCGTGCCTGCCCTAGGGGAGAAGGGTGGCGCCAGGCCTCCAGGGACTGGCGGCTGTGTGGGCCTAGAAGCTGGCCCAGGCGGGAAACTTCTGCTTCCCTCCTGTTCAGAGTGGTAGGATTTCTCACAATGGAAGAGAAAGAATTGAGCCTGAGTGTGGGGGCACCAAGCACCACTCCTCACAGGAAGCATCCTAGGCTCTACTGCAGGGCTTTCTGAAGCCTTGGTGTAAGAAGAGCCCAAGAAACCTCTTGGTGGGACTGTCACATCCCGAGAGCTGGTTGGGGTCATCTTCCTATGCAAAAGTCGCCCCTCCCCACTGCTGCCTCCGCAGGGATGGCCGGGGGCTGCTGGAACCACTCAGCAGAAGGGGCTATCTGAAGGGGAGAGGGTGCCGCTATGTAATTCCTCCAGGACATTCCATTGTGAGATGCCAGCCACTGGCCTTTACCCTAGGACACTGGACCAACAGCCCAGATTTTATCCATTCACCCTCCCTCGCCTCCCATTGTGGAAGAACCTAGCTTTCTTTCCACCTACCCTAACTTCAGAACCTTCCCTATCTGCATCTTCCATTAATCTTCAAGTTAGGGCAAATGACAGTATCTTTCTGGTTAAATCCTTCCTGCGTTATCCAAACAGACACACCAGCAAACCACACAGAAGGCACACTCGTGTGTGACATAAACACCACACACGCACACTTTAGGTAGACACTAACAGACACATATCCAGGGGCTTGAAGTACACCTACCCACATATGTGTTTAGGATCACAGCTATTGCTAAC